AGGGTTATATTGTTGGAGGGTTATATTGTTGGAGGGTTATATTGTAGGAGGGTTATATTGTTGGAGGGTTATATTGTAGGAGGGGATATTGTAGGAGGGTTATATTGTAGGAGGGAGTATTGTTGGAGAAATGTCAAGATAAAACTGTGAAAATGTTAAGATAAGTTCACTTTCAACACACTAACTGTCTGTATTTAATATTTTCTCCCTCAGCCACACAGAAATCTGCCTTTTAGTCCAACTTTATCAGCAGTTTTTATTTTATTTTTAACTTTTCTTTCTTTTGTATATTTCTGATTAAACCTGTTTTCCACCTTTATAAATGAGAATAACAGTCAGGTGAGGAGGACACCTGTGTTCTCTCTTAGTCCATCTCAGACCCCCAGTGACAGCTCTTAGTTTTACCCCCCCCCCAGAGTCCTGAGGATCAGTCTGAACTGTTCAGGACAGGAGGACTGATTCTTTCACTCAACAGTTTGAATAAACTGACAGCAGGAGCACATCCAACACGTTTCAACTCTGAAGTCTAAAAATCCACTCTAAGTTTGATAAATACAGGTCCTGATCTTCATCAGATGAACTCGTCTTCATCAGATGAACTCGTCTTCATCAGATGAACTCGTCTTCATCAGTTGAACTCGTCTTCATCAGCTGAACTCGTCTTCATCAGATGAACTCGTCTTCATCAGTTGAACTCGTCTTCATCAGATGAACTCGTCTTCATCAGATGAACTCGTCTTCATCNTATATTGTAGGAGGGGATATTGTAGGAGGGTTATATTGTAGGAGGGTTATATTGTTGGAGGGTTATATTGTTGGAGGGTTATATTGTTGGAGGGTTATATTGTTGGAGGGTTATATTGTAGGAGGGTTATATTGTTGGAGGGTTATATTGTAGGAGGGTTATATTGTAGGAGGGTTATATTGTAGGAGGGGATATTGTTGGAGGGTTATATTGTAGGAGGGTTATATTGTAGGAGGGTTATATTGTAGGAGGGTTATATTGTAGGAGGGTTATATTGTAGGAGGG